GGACTCCTGCGAACACACCGCAGTGGCTTAGCACAGAATGTGGACATTTCACATAGTTAACCAGCAGGGATTTGGAGCAATCAAATTTTTGAATTGCTTTGCTCCAGCTCTGGGCAAAAACCTACTGGTCCGGGCTCCAGCTCCGGGCTCCGCTCCAAAGCCCTGTTAACCAGCATCAATTCATACAAGCACGAGGCCTAGGGTCCCTGCAAACAGTGATGCAGAGAACAGGAATAGAAAACAAGGCTGTGTGTTCTGAAAAGAAAATAAAGAAAACCCATATAGTGGATGGAGCGAGCCCATGAATCCAACTTCTCTCTTTCCCCACCAAGCCCATGGAAGTCCCTCCAGGTGAGCAACCAGTCATCTGGAGGGATTGTGGCTGGGCTCAGGAGAAGCAGAAAATCCCACATGATGCTGCTCTGAGTAGCACGGAAGGGTGAGACCATCCAAGACTGCCACTCTTATCACTACTACAAGCATGTGCCAAATCTTACCTTCCCCTGTCGCCAGGAGTTAATTAGCTTTGTCTGCAGGTCAACAATGGGGCTCCACTAGTTAGTGGCTTGAGGGGGGGGGGATTGTGCCCCATTTGTTCATTCCCTATCTAGAGAGACAGTTCTTATTCAAAAGTGAAGTTATCGGAGTTAGACTGTAAGAACATTAAGGTCAGGGACCATGTCTCACTATAGGGTATCACAAGTAATCTGGACAGACAGCATGGTTCTTTTATCTTTGCCCCAGTGCTTAATTTGTAATGAAAGAGGTGCCGGGGTTCAGGGAATTCGATGCTGGGGCTCAAGCGATATTTTTACATTCATAACTGATGCGGCAAGCCCAGAGGTGCCGGGGCGATGGCCTGCCCAGCCCAGAGGTGCCGGGGCAATGGCCTGCCCAGCCCAGAGGTGCCGGGGCTATGAATTGGCACAAATTAAGCACTTCTTTGCCCTCATCCTCCTCTTGTCTTACCCTTTGATTGGCAGCTCTCCCAGCAGGGACTGTCTTTATTAGTCTTTGTAAAGCAATAGGTCTAGCTAAGATGCTATACAATAAACAACACAGGCACCACTACAAACGTTTTTTTTCTCCTGCTGACAATAGCTCATCTTAATTAATTAGCCTCGTACAGTTGGCATGGCTACTTCCACCTTTTCATGTTCTCTGTATGTATATACATCTTCTTACTATATGTTTCATTCTATGCATCCAATGAAGTGGGCTGTAGCCCACGAAAGCTTATGCTCAAATAAATTTGTTAGTCTCTAAGGTGCCACCAGGACTCCTGTTCTTTTTGTGGATACAGATTAACCCGGCTGCTACTCTGAAACCAGTAAATAAGGAGGGATTTCCAAGACACTGACTGCTCCTATCCCCTGCCCCATGGATTTTAGGTAGGACGGATTGCTCTGATTGTCTCTTTATAGCAAAAGAGGAGGATGCTGTATTGTTCAGTGAACCATCAGAAAGACCCAACAGTGAGAGCGGCTGACCCCCACGCGACCCTAGGGCTTGTCAGAAAGCTGCCCTCTTTTGTTTGCCTCTTGAGCTTACTGACTTTGTACTACAGGTACAAGGACAATGGGAATTGTTTTCCCAACAATGCCTCTTGCCCCACACCACTCACTCAAGTCAGGGACTTCTCTGATTAGCCTCCACTCTCTTCTAGCCTTGTTCTTTTCCGATTCCCCTGCCCCACAGTGATGCCGTCTCTGGTTTAAATCTATTTACAATTTTCTGTTGATTTGCTTTTGGTCCTTCCCCTTTGTTGCAAATCTCGGATGAATGACAGAACAAGAACATGGAAACGAATCCAACTGTGAAAGGGAAAAGAATGGAGTGAGACCTTTATCCCAAACAAATCACCTGGAAAGAGAAGTCCTGTCTCCTCAAGGAGTTTAACTGGGATGTGTGGGACAGAGGAATAGGGCACATGCAGGGATCTATACTGATCTTTCATGGTGGAATCAGTTCTCAGTTCCTCAAGCCAGCCTGCTCAGACCAAAAGACCATAAAACACTGTTGCTTTTTTCTGGCTGGGGCGGGTAGAAGGAGGGCAATTCTGTGTGTTGCAAGGAAGTGGTCACACCCGACACCAGAGTGGAGGCCAAACCATCCCTTCCCATGCCAGGGGATTGTGCCAGCGCAGCAGAGGCTACCCTATAGGGAAGAGCTGAAGAGCTATGCAGCTGGTAACACCCTACCCTCTCCAGTGAAACAAAGCACAGCACACATTAATATCCAGGTGCAGCTTTCATAGGATGGGCTATTCTGAAGGGCAGTGGGGTGGGCCTATGCCAACCAGCTACCATCACAGGCAGTCCCCTGCATTATTCTAACACAGCGCAGCACTGTGCTCTGCCCCGCTGTCAAAGCCTGCCAAGAGAGCAGATCTGGGCTTACAATCTCTTCCCATGCGCCTCCCTCTGGGGTGCGGCTAGTTGACAGCACAGCAGCCACACGCACACCACCGTTTGTACCCACAGTATCCACGTAACCATATTCTGCATTTCCTCCTATGTGCTCCCTGTGCCTTCCAGCCAGTTAAACGCACAAGGACACGTGCGAGGAGAAGCGTTTGTTAACCCCAGCAGAGGAAAAACAGGGCACAGAGTAGTGAAATGACTTGCCCAAGGTGACAAAGGTAGAGCAAGGGAAAGAACCCAGGTTTCCCAGACTCCCAGCCAGGGATCTTCCCAGACTCCCAGCCAGGGATCTTCCCCACAAGACCATCGTCTCCTCCTTCCTGACAAGGACAGAGACAGGCGCCCTTTTGGGGGTGAAGAGTCGATATCCCGAGGTGGAGTGATGTGCTAGTGAGGCAGAGGAGGGCTTCTAGAGCCTTGGTCTGCAATCACTGTGGCCTGGGTGTCGAAAAGCACAGCCACCCCCTGTGCTGGCCCTGGGAAAGGAGTCAAGGGCTCTTCACTGAGTAGGGCTGGGAGATCACTGCTGGGTTTGGGGGAGGGCAGGATGCAGGGGGAAAAGAGCAGGGCCTCTGCGCAGTGTAACCCCATCTCATAATCTGTTATGCTGAGGTGGCTGAAAGGACATCGAGTGGCTTAACCTGCTGCTTTCTGAGTATCTGATCAATCCACTCTTTCAAACCTCACTCAGATCCCATCCTTGAGTGTTCGCTCATGGGGGTTTGTAGACGTGTGCGGTCACAGGGGGTTTAGACTCTCATGGATTAGCTCAACTCTCCTGCCTAGGCCTGAAGCAAATGCAAAAAGTTCAAGTCAAATTGGCCAAGTTTCACCTAGTTCCAATGCATGATTGTCACCCACTCCTCGGCTCAGTGGAGACCTGGAGGCTCCACTCGATGCGGGTTTGTGAATCTTGGCAATGTTTTGTGAGTCAAGACTTGGATTCGTAAGTAAAACCCCAAAGCAGGGGAGTTTCGCATGGCGGAAGTTTGGACAGTGCTCATTTCAGAGAGAGTGACTTAGCAGCAGTTTTAAGGAGAATTACAGGGGACATTTCACGTAACAGGAAGACAAATTCTGCTCCCAGCTACGCTGATGCAACCCCACTGATTTCACATCACAGGTCAGATGAATGATTCTTAGGCCTGGTCTACACTGGGGAGGAGGGGGGGGAAAATCGACCTAAGATACGCAACTTCAGCTACGAGAATAGCTGAAGTCGATGTATCTTAGTTCGACTTACCTCCCATTCTCATGACGTGGGATCAACTGCCACCGCTCCCCCGTCGACTCCACTTCTCGCCATGGTGGAGTTCCGGAGTCGACGGCAGAGCGATCAGGGATCGATTTATCGCATCTACACAAGACGTGATAAATCGATCCCCAATAGATCGAGGCGGGTAGTGAAGACGTACCCTTAGGGTCACATTCAGGCATGAAATAAATGGGATGCAAGTTACATATTGGGCCACAGGGGTAGAAAGCATGTAAACTTGCTCCAGTTTGTGTTTAGTGGGTGTGCAGAATGAGTGACTTACACCAATTTGCTATTGCATGGGGACTACGTTCCACCCCAACGTAATTGTTGCATTTGCTTACATTCCCCAGAGGACGGGGTTGTGTTTTGAAAGTGGAACCACATGGCTGCTTTATCTTTCACCCTTCCTATTATTACTGCTATTTATTTGCATTGTGGTAGCACCCTAGGAGCACCATGGTGCTAGGCGCTGTACAAACACAGAACAAAGAGATGGGCCCTGCCCCAATCGAATCCTTCTTAGTTGCTTTTCCTGCCGCATCCTTTCTTCCCCCAGTAAACTCACTTGCACACCCAGTGAATGCCAAAGCAGTGCAAGCTATATACTTCTTTTCTGGTTCCGGCTAGTGTAAGGAATCAAATCAATGTCATAAAACCAGCAAAAATCAAGAGGTTCCACCTTGTTGAAATCCAATTTGCAATCAATACATAAACATCAGTAATCATCATCGACGGCTCTTCTCCAACACCTTCACATTTGTATTACGGTAGCACCTAGAGGGCCCAGCTAAGATCAGAGTCCCATTGTACCAGGTGTTTTATATACACGTACTAAGAGAGAGACAGTCCCTGTCCCAAGGAGTTTAAATAGACCAGACAGATTAAAGCCTTAAACTCTACCACAAATCCAGGTTTGGAAAAGCACAGTACCACACCCCTGCACTGTACAAACGGGGAATTGATGCACAGAGGGGCAAACGAATTTGCCCAAGGTCACAAAGAGAATCTGTCGCAGAACCACAAATTAAAGCCAGGCTTCCCGAGACCCAGTCTGGTGCCTTCACAACAAGCCCATCCTTCCTCTTCACAGACAATATTGCAACAAGCCACACAACCACCACCCTATCACTTAGGGAATCTAGCCCTATTTTACAGACAGGGGAAACAGACTAAAATCACTCCAGCTCACAGAGACAACACAGCTAGATCTTCAGATTCCTGCTTCCCACAAGATCACACTTCCCTCCCCACATACGCTAAGAAGCGGTTTGAAAAACCAATTCCCACTCCCCTTTGCACAGGGTTAGGTTCTCGCTTACCTGCCATTTTGCTGGGGGGCGAAGAGCTAGGCTGGGTGTGATGGGGCGAGTTGTGGGACAGCAGGAGGTTCATGCTGTGCGGCTGGCCTGTGCTGTAGGCGTCCATGGCCAGCTTCTGGCGGAAAGCCTCCTCTTTCCGTCGGTTCGCGAACCAGTTGTAGACACGAACTTCCGTCACCAGGTTGGAGCCCAGCCCATGCGCTTTGGAGGGGGACACTCCTCGCTGGAGACATTCCGCCCTTGCGGGGGAATGAAGAGAATACTTTGGAACGGGTCGCCTGCTGCTATGAAGTCCATAATGATACATCGCGTTTCCATAGCCCTTTACTGGTTCAAAGCACAATAGCGAGTGCATCCCCAGGACCCCTCTGCGCAATAGGTGGTTAAGCAATACCCCTATATTACAGGTGGGGAAACCGAGGCAGAATGGGGAAGGGTGACTTGCCCAAGGCCACACAGTGAATCAGCAGCACATCAGCTAGACCCCCTCTTTCACAAGGATTTTATGTAGGTGTTTATAAGATCCCCCATCCATGGAGGGTACTTCTCTGGCCCATCACCTCTCGGTATTTATCCTCACTACACCCCGGTGAGATGGGGATTACGGCTCTGCCCTATTTTACAGGCACGGAGAGACAATGTGACCTGCCCGAGGTCCCCCAGGAATTCTGGGTGGGGGGAGAACAGGGAATTGAACACCTGTAACCCAAATCCCAGTCTAAGGCACTGGATGACCCTTCCTCCTGCTTGCACCTTGCAGCTGCAGTTCCAACCCTGGCCAAGACCCATTAGGCCAAAGCAGCATATAAAAAAGTTAATAAAATCAAAGTAAATTCTCAGTGTCTGAGAACCCCAAGGAGCGGTTTGATTTTGTGCTGGGTGTAAAAATGGACAAAGGGTTGGGCTGGTGGTGGAGTGGTGTAAAAGCAAAAAAAAAAAAAAACTAACAGGAAGGGAATTGCAATGCATAACAGTTTGTTAGCAAAAGTCAGGCTAACTGTAACCCTAATAACGCAAAATTTGTAAAAGCAAAAATTATGTAAGGCAAGTAAAAAAAAAAAACTGTGTAAAAAGTTGTTGCAACCTTGTGTAAATAATGTGTAAATAATATTGCATATAAACTAAAGTCTAAACAAGCAAAAAAAACAAAATATCAAAATAACCTATGTATAAACAAAATGCAGCTGTTGCTCATTATTGTCTGTAACAAAAGGTATAAATGCTTGCTGTAATTGTTTACCTGTTAAAAAAACTGTTTAGCTCTCTCCCTCTACGCAATTGCTTAAAAAAATAAAGTATCTAACTTGCTGTACCCAAACAAAAAGTAAAAACTTTGTTATTCTCCAACAGTGGTTCGGATTTTTCCAGCCCTCCTTAAACAAGGCTAAACTTGGCATTCGGGATGGGCACAAACCCAAACCCTATGTGTGGATACCACTGAACTTGGAGACAGCTGGGATTCGGAGCCAAACTCTGTGGCCCGTATAGGGCCCCGATCCAGCAAAGCCCGTACACGGCTAGTTCAATGGTAAACACTTGAATAGTCCCCTTGATTTTAGTGGAATTGCTTGTGTTTGGCTCCTCTTCTGGATCAGAGCTTCAATCAACAGAAATACGCACGCCAGCCTTGGGGAAGTTCTGATCCAAACCTTGCAGCTCAGGCCCATCGCATCTTCTTACAGGGAAGGAAAGAATTTATGCTCAGGCCAGGTCTGCACTAGAAATGTACCTCGGTATAATGACGTCACTCCGGGGTGTGAAAAACCCACACTCCCGAGTGACTCAGTTATACCGACCTACACCCCTGATGTAGACAGCGCTACGTCGCTGGGAAGGCTTTCCCCATCGATACAGCCCCCGCCTCTCGTGGAGGTGAATTAACTATGCTGACGGTCTCCCGATGCCGCTGCGGCGTTTTAAGTGTAGACCTGCCCTCAGAGAGAATCGTGCAGAAGGGAAGGGATGGAACGTCTTTTCCAGGATCCCATAGTCATTTATCCGTGGAGCCAGGCTCCTATTAAGTATAGCAAATTCCCTCTCTCCAACAGTGCCTACTAGAAGCCTAGGACCATAGGGATTTGGGCTCCCTTAGCTTGTTTGTATTTTTAAACAAAAGCTCTCCAATTAATTGAGAGACAATGGAGCTGGGGGGGAGGACAATATTCTCTTGAGCCATCCCAGTGCCATTTTACCTGTTACATTCCTCCACTAAGGCTTCCCTTTCCTCCTTGCTAGGGTTCTTTTGCCGGTCATAGGCTTGGTACAAGATTTGTTGCGAGGCAGGCCCCCATTTGAATCGATTCCGTCGCATCTTCTTGCTGGGGGTTTCAGAGCAGGTGTCCTCGAGCTGGCCCGTGCCCTGGTTCTGCTGATTGAACTCTGGAAAGAGAAACAGCAGCTGATCTTGACTGCTTTTGTCTGTCATATTTCCAGAACCCTGGACTGTCTGGTTGAATTCTGAAAGAGAAAGGAGCAGATTTGATCTGGCCTATAGCCACTGCCACTCAGAAAATAACCTGCATTCATATTCATATCGTCACATTGTTTCCTTGTGCTCCCCCATCTGCCTCCCTGTATCCACTTGCTGTCTGTTTTATACTGAAATTGTAAGCTCTTTCAGGCAGGGACTGTCTTTTTGTTTGTACAGCGCCTAGCACCAGGGGGTCCTGGTCAGTGGTTGGGGCTCTTAGCCGCCACCACAATACAAATAAATAATAAATAAAAATAACAATAGATTTTAAGATCAGGAGGAACCATCTAGTCCAGCCTCCTGCATAACTCAGGCCAGAGACTATCACCCAGTGATTGCTGCATTGACACCAATTGCTTTGCTTTGTTTGTTAGCAAAGTTACGTGAACAATTTTGAGACCCAGTACACTACACACCAGCCACACATACCCCACTGCCATCAATGGAAACGTCAATACATTTATCCTTGGATGTGAGAGACTGGGGCTGGCTAATCACTTCAGTCTGTGCCATTGATCTCTTCTGCTAAAGAGCCTTAGCAGGACTGCAATTTGAAACAATAGGCAATTTATTTGCAGGCAGCAATCTGGATACCAGCAGGATCAGAGAGGGAACCCACTTCTCCCTGCCTTTCCCAAACCCACCCACGCCCTCGCAATAAAAAACATGAAACACAGACTTGTGAACAGCCCTGGCACAAAACCATGTACGAAGACCGAGGTTGGCACTTTAGGGCAACTCCCGGACACCTTTTAATGGACCCTCTCTTGGGTGAGCTCACAGCTGTTTGCAACTTTGATACCTTTTAGACTGGTTTAAGTTACCCTTCAGACAGGCTTCCCCAGAGTTCCAGTCTCCACACCCCGTCCTGCACTCAGCGACGACACCAGTGCCAATCCAGGATAGCTACCGGCTTCAGTGGGGGTGCTCTGGATTGACACGAATGTAGCTGAGCGCTAAACATACCCCCTATTTCAATGTTTTAGATACAGCCATCAGTGCACTTTACAGATTATTACCCTGGCGGGAAGGGGGACATAGGGAGTGGCTTGTGGTTAGGACACATTAAAGGAAGGCTGGCAATTTGGGTCCTAGTCACTCCTCTTATCCGTGCCTCAGTTTCTTCTCTCAGCAGGGTGCTGTGAATCAGATCAGTAATGTTTCAGAGGGGCTCCGTTGCGCAAACATAAATAAATAGCCAACCTCTCAAAAATGGAGCCGATATCAACTCGAGAGAAAGGCGCCAAGTGCAATCTCAGGTAAGTCCCTCAGTCTCTCTGTGCCTCAGTTCCCCCCAGCGCCTACCATTTGTCTGTCTTGAGGGCGAGCTCTCCAGGGCAGGGACTGTCTCTTACGAGGTGTAGGGGTTCTTCCATTGCTGTAGTAAATCCACCCCTCCGAGAAGCCGTAGCTAGGTGGATGGAAGAATTCTTCGGTCCACCTAGCAGTGTCTACGCTGGAGCATCGCTCGGTTTATTTACATGGCACAGGGTGAGACATTTTTCACAGCTCTGAGGAATGTAGTTAAACCGTCCTAACGTTGTAGTGTAGACCAGCTCCAGGAAAGGGCCTCAAGATGCTACAAGTATATAGTACTAATCAAGTAGCCATGGGCTAATCAGAAAGGGTCAGTTGTTCCACTCGAACTTCAGAGAAAGCATCCAAGGATTTGGAAGATTCTCTGTCCAAACCTCTTAGGTTTGCAAAGCCAGACTGGAAATCTTACGAGACCAGGTTCTCTCCCCACTGCTCCAAGCGGGAGCCTGGAAGTGCAGAGTCCCAAGACAATGAACAACGACTGCAGGTGGGAAGTTCAGAATTTTTGGCAGCTCCGAGAAGGTTCGGTAGGGCACAGGTCCAACTTTCCCCTAATATGTGACTTTTCCATGAGCTTCACCTCTCCCTCTTGCGATTGCTGCTAATCTGCGAAATGCCTTCCCAGGCCTATGCCAAGACACAGCCGCAGATGCATGTTCTAAAATGATTATGGATATGTATGAGGCTCCTTGAGCTGTGTGGCAGCTCCCTTAATGAGAAGGCACATGCAGGCCATACATATTCATGGCCTGGCTTTCTGTGCCTGCATGTACTTGTTCAGGGCGGGATTCTGTGAACTTAGGCTAATACATTATGAGTTAGGCAGTCAGACTTCAAAGATCCCCCCCCCCGAATCCTGCCTCTCTTTGTTCCTAAATAACTCCCCACCTTTGATACAGCTCCATTTCAAATTAATGGGAAACAAACACACTCCTCCAGCAATAAGGAAGCTTAAATCAACTCATGTATGCGGCGGGATCGCCATTTCCAAAACTGAACACCTTGGGCAATGCAGCACAGCAGAGGCATGAGGCGAACGGGTGACCTTCCACGCCTGCCTGCCACAGAGCTGGGGCCTGTCAGCACAGCCGTAAAGGGAGATTGATGGCAGGTTTTATTATTCTCAGTTTTGCAGGGAAATTCTCCCTCTTTTTATAATAGCTTTTCCCTTGGGACAACAAGAGAAGCAGAAAACAGAGGCCAAGGTTGGAGCAGGGGGGTGGTTTTTTTCCTCTAGGTGGATTTTCAAAGCACTGACATTCAGTTTGAAAGACTTTCTGGAGTCCCTATCTTCCTGAAGTAGAACGATACTCCATCCCGTTGGGAGGACAGGTGCTGAACTACTTTTTAAGACATAGTTTAGGGCCCTTGACTCACATGGATAGCCCCAATTGGATTCAATGAGATGAATTGCAGAAGTAAGGACTAATTACATGAGTAAAGTAAAGGTCTGTGGGGCCATTGAACTCAATGAACACAAGCTAGATTGGGCCCTCCCCTTGTAGATTTGGGTTGTTAAAGGAGGCCATAGGAACAACCTGAAACTTTTCTGCATTCTTCATTGCCTAAGCATCACCGAAGGAAACATCAAAATGCAGCATCCAGGAATTTTAGGGGGTTTTGTTTTAAAAAGGGACACCATCCTTTAAAAGGAATGCTGGAGGAACCACTATTGTCCTTCCATATATTGCTACTAACTTAGCCTTAGATCATTAAAGCAAAGAAATTTAAAATGCTAATTAACTTTCCACCACTTGGGCTGGCTGCTTGCTTCATTTAGTTTTGTACTTCATTTTGTTTGGACAGTGACATCAGAATAGTCAATAACTAAGCCACCCAGTCCCTTGCCCTGTCCATGCAGCAAAGTTCTCTTTCTTACTTTCAGCCCATCACCCCAAGCGACCCCCAAAATCATCTCCCTCCTTCAAACATGTGCAAATTCACATGCCCCAACTTACTGATCACTTAAAGTTATGCATAGTTACTTCTAGGATCTAATCCCATTCCCATTGAATTCAGTGACAAATCCCACCAATGGGATCAGGATCAGACGTCATCAGTCGATCCCGCTGCTATTTTTTGTTCCTGGTCTCTGACAGACGCCGTATCAAATGCTTTACTAAGACCCAAATAGGTCATGTTCACTGAGCTCCCTTCACCTGCTGACTCTAATTCTATCACAAAGTAGCCAGTTTCTCTGGCAAGGCCTATTCTTTGGGGGTGAAATTCATCAGTTTCAGCACCATTTAAAGTTCCACTTAAACCCTTAAGCTTAAGGTTTGCTCAATTGCACTTCTGCACAAGGGTTGAGTCTCACCATAGAAACCCACCCACATTATCGCTCTTTGTTCCATTAGCCAAGATATTAAACTTTCCGATTCTCATGCATTAGCACAAGGCTGTACCCACTGTAACACTGCAGAGGGATGTTTAAATTCAAGCTAAAAACCCCAGCTGATTTCAGTGATTTTTTTTAAATTGACAACTATATTTCTATCAATATACTAAAACTACAATTTTTGTCCAAGGTATTTGTCATTGCCCCTTTAAGAATCCAGGGGAAGATTCCTAACAGCCCGGCAAACATGATAAGAACACTACAGCTAGAGTATTGGAAAATACTGCCCCCAAAAGATTTCCTCAAATAGTTACATTTCTGAAAAAACAGATTTTCTTCTGGTGTGTGCCTGTCCCCTTTTTTAAGAGTTCATTTCCCGCAAATACTGTCGCAAATAAATTCACTGATTGGAACATCCAGGGCAACAGCAAGTTTGAAGCAAGTGTTATAAAAATATTCTGAGGCCCTAATTCAGAAAGATACTTATGCATGTGCCTAACTAAGCACATGACTAACCTCACTGAAGCTGCTGGGACTCAGAAACAAGCTACAGACCCAGGATTATTTGAAGAAAATATTCCCCACATATTTGTGAATAATGAATAAGTGTGAGAAGCTGCAGACAGAGGCAAAAGTCATCTAAATCAGGTGTTTCTTATGAATTGTTTGTCTGGTTCTAATTGTCACACAGACATGGGGCAATAAAGTGATTTTAATGGGGGCTACATGGAAGTTGAATATTGCTGCTCAGTGGGCTTCAGTGTATTTCTTATGGGCTTTTTTTAAAAAATGTTGTACTTGGACGCATCTTTTTTTTTTTTAATTTTATGCAGTAAAGTTACAAACAAACCACCAAAAATGCAGTATAATGCTTTGATCAATGGCACTACCAAGGAACTGTGGCGGTCACATGGACAGCTAAATCAGGACGTTATGCATGCTTCAAGACATGAAATGTCTCAGTAAGACAATAAGCTCTGATTTGAGCATGGGGAAAAAAAAGGGATAATTCATTTTCTACCTGCTTCATTTCACTGACAGAGTGAGAACATTTGATACAGAAACCACTGAGAGACTCAAGCCCCGATTCAGCAAAGCATTTGATCACAGTTAACCTTAAGCATGTAAATCCATGCCTATGCAGCAAAACACTAAGCTTGACTTTAACCATGCTTGACTTTAACCATGTGGCCCTATTAAATCAGGGGTTTAAAGCCAAATGTGTGCTTGATTGGACCGAGGTATCAATAGAAACACGAAGCCCCATTACACAGTTACTTTTCAGAGCAGATCTGCACATTAACGAGCTGCGGCGAGAAGGCTGGAAGGAACAAGGACATCTAGAGCAGACTACTTACGTCTGAGAATCTCCCTCTGCTTCCGGACGTACCACGTGTAGAGTGCTGCCCGCTTCTGCGTTTTCATGGGTGTTCCCTTGTTGAGGTGCTGGGAGAGGTGAGACTGATTCAGGCCTGTGACATCCACCACCTCCCTCTGGGGGATGTTGTGCTGCTGCATGTAACCTTTGATCATTTTTGCAGCCCGCCAGGGGTCCTCGCTACAAGGGGAAACAAACAGTTAGTTTGGTCTGGGGGAGGTGCCCAGGGTAAGCTTATTCCAATGACAAAAACCTCAGGCTGATTGCTAAGAATCTATTACTAATCGGATGGCAGCATTAGGCCTTTTGAATGCACGAGTGAACCCAGAATCCATTACAGGTGGGCACCCAAAAATCCACAACAGGATTTCCTTTTAGTTGCCTAAGGTGGGCAGTTTTACTGATGATGGATCGGCCTCCTTAAAAATCACTCTATCCATGAACCCAGCACAAAGACAGATCCCCACCCTGCTCCCCTGGAAGACACTTCACTCCAAAGGGGGCAGGATCAGTCCCTTAATCTGAATCTGAGCCACAAACTTACTCCTTCCGGTCACATCCCACTTCCCATAGGAATAACCTCAGCTGGGTGAAAAGTAAATTTGATAATGTTGCCCAGTGGTTAAAGCAACGGACCGAGAGTCAGGAATTCTAAGTTCCATTCCCAGCTTCACCACTGTCAAGCCGCCTAATCTCGGTCTGGGGCTCAGTTTACTCACTGGTAAAATAGAAATAAAACTTGCTTGCTTCACAGGGATGTTGCAAGGCTTAATTAAGCATTTTGAGATCCATCATCCTTGGATTAAAGGTCCAATAGAAGCATTAAGTAGGAGTAGTAGTAATAGTAATAATAATCACTCCCCTTGATATGTATGAACAACATGTTCCATAATGGGAGTTCCCTACATAAACACAGCAGATAGTGAAGACTTCTAATTTTGTGACAATTGGACATTTTTCTTTTTACCTAGCCTCTGTTCTATGCTCTTTCACGCTGCATTAATGAGTTATCCCCAAAAGAACTGAAGATCGTTTGGAGTGTTACACCAAAGAACGTAGCCTTTGTTGAGACCCAGACCTTAACAGCTTTAAGGTGCTTTACAAATTACATCCAACAATAGCTTTATAATGGTAAATATTTTAGCCCTTCATTAATAGTGAGATTCACAACTTACTCCTAAGCCCTCCTATGATCCGGCTGCCTTCTCCAAAACCCGATTAAAGAGATAGGCTGAGCAGATGCTTCACAACTCTGGGAGACCAAGTCGGGGAAGAACTTGTGAAAGTTTGCTTCAAGTCAGGCTTTTAAAATCAGGATGGGAGAAATTATAAGCTTGGAGAATTTTAGGAGGGAGAAGGTGATTTGAGCTTCTGAGTTCCCTCTGTAGAAGGTTATATTGAATTGTAGTGCTGCACTTTAATTATAGTTGGATATGAAGACCCCAATTCTTCAATGGATTTAGGCACATGCTTAACCTTATCCACTCTCAATAGTTCCCTTGGAGTCAACCGGGCTACTCACAGTGCGTAAGCAGTGTTGCCAGCAGTTACAGATTTTATCACAAATTTTGTGACATTTATTGTTTTCTTCCCTCAAATTCTCAGCTCCTGGAGTAAGTGATTATGGGAGAATCTCAGCTTTCATTTACAAAAGTCATATTTTTAGCCCTCATGGTAGCAGAGGGAAGCCCGAAAACAGGAGCCAAATACACCCTTAAGATTCAAAAACCAGAAGACAAATTTATTATTTTTTAAAATCTGATTATTTCTGAGCCACAGCTCATGATTTGTAATGCTTGGGCTTTGCAAGTGTATCAATATTTGCAGGATCAGGACCTGATTTTAATGTATTTTTAAATTATTTTCAGGGCACCTCCTTGGCCAGGCATTCTTTTTTGGGGTGCATATAATTCTAACTAAATAATAAATACATTATATGGTAAATACTGCTAAATCTGCTAAGGGTAGCTGTTGTAAAGACAGGTTAATATGCAAAAATACATTTCAATTATTTAAGATGATTGGATTTATTTTTATAGACAAGGATAGACGGTGAATTAAAAGGAAGGGCTTTATGCTGAAAAATCATTTTTGATCATGAACTTGGTCACAGTTCTGCACTAAAATAATGAGATATTCTAATATTTTACTTGGAATAACCATCCAACTGCATTTTCAGTTCATTTGTTATTTTGGATCCTTCAACTTGTCAAGGAAAAAAAAAATCCCATAGATTCTTACCTTTTGTCCTGAAAGCAGCTTGAAAACAAAGCTACTGGTAACCACCATGAAAGTGAGTTCGGAAAAATATTGTTATAATAGTGCACTTTTCCCTCGTTTCCCCTCTAAAACAATAACTATTTGATTTAAAGAGATGCTGTCAGGCCCAATCCTGCTTTCTCAAAGTACTGAAAATTCACACTGATTGTTCTGTGTTCGTACAGCACCTAGCACAATGGGGTCTTGGTTCATGACTGGGGCTCCTAGGTGCTATGATAATAAAAATAACATAAAAAATAATAAATAAAATAATAATAATAAGAGGAGTTTGGGGTGTATTGATTATGGAATGCAGGATCCAAACACAGTTTAGTAGACTCAAAATTTGACACCCTACCCCTTAATTTTGCTACAGCCATTAATAAAGTCCCTCCAATTATTTTGGTGACTTTTTCAAAAGGAGTAAGTCAGTGACATTTTCCCTACATATTCATTCATTTCTATGACACCAGTCATCGTGGTATGTATTATACATACATGCACCTTGTTATTATTGTACCAGTGCTTAGGAATCCCAGTCTAGGTGCTGTACAAACAGAGAACGGAAAGGTGGGCCCTGTCCCCAAGCGATATGCTGCCACAGCCTAGCACTGAAGGACAGCCCTCCCCAATAACAAACGTGGGCGCACATATGATGGCGCAAAACGTTTCTAGTCAAACAGATTTTGGTTTCTAAGGGTTTGTTACAAACAGTGTCAAATGAAATTATATGATTGTAAATGATGTTCAAAGTCCATTTAAACAGAATTGGACTGAGGCAATCCACACATCAGTGAAATATAGAAAAAACTCATGTCTAGAAATACAGAAAGACCCAGAACATACATAAGGTGGCTTGAAAGTGGCATCTCATTGATAGGCAACTGTAATTACCGTAATTAAATGATTTTTCAGAACTTGCTGACTTTGCTCTATATCAGGGTCCTTTTTCTTTCTGAGCCCCCCCCCCCAGGCTATAAAAACTTCATGGCCCACCTGTGCCACAACAACTATTTTTCTGCATATCCAGTAGATTAAAAGCCGGAGCCACGTTAAGGGGTAGCAAGCAGGGCAATTGCCTGGGGCCCCACACCACAGGGGCCCCACAAAGCTAAGTTGCTCAGGCTTCAGCTTCAGCGCCAGGTGGTGGGGCTTGGGGCCCCAGGCTTCTGCCCCACATGGCGGGTCTTGAACTTTCCGCCCTGGGTTCCAGTAAGTCTAATGCTTACCCTGCTTGGCAGACCCCCTGAAACCTGCTCATGGCCCCTCAGGGAGCCCCAGCCCCCTGGTTGAGAACTGCTGCTCTATATTTCTTGCCATGTCCTCAAACCTGTAAAAACCTGGGCAGGGAAGCATAGTTCAATTGAACTATTCCCATACGTTGAGTTACTCATGTGCTTACGGGGTCAATCCTGCAAACACTTAATTGTAGCAAACACCATTACATTAGGGTTGTGACAGAGTTCCAGGTCCAGACCATCTGGGGAAATCTTCATTCGTGATGCAGAAAACCAAGCTGCCCCATTCCCCCAACATAAAAATGGTAGAGTCAAATCTGATTTGTATTATCTGGAAGTGGGGCCAATGAAATCAGTGGGAAAGACAGTCAGGACTCTAGGGCCACTGTCAGCACTTCTCCTGCCTCCCATCATTCTCCTACAGAGGCATTTGTCCTGCGCTTCTCATCCCTAATATCTTGGGTGACATCCTCACATTTCTTATACTTTATCAACAGAGGTGACACATTCCCCCCAAAGCTTACAGGAATAGTCACTTGAATTAAAGAGGATAATAACTGGCTTGCCCCAACTGTATCTGCATCACGTTCCATTTATAGTTTAGCAAGCGAGAATACTGGCAGAAATATTCACCTAAGCAGTAAGCTTTAAGTCAGTACTAGAGACTTTTTTCAGAAAGTGAGTTTGGAACTTCACCACCTCCACCACCAACTGGATTTTAAGGGTTACACTAATCCAGCCAGTGAACAGAAACAATGCTACATGACCTGCCTCCAGTCAGCACTAGCCAAAATATCTCAAATGTTGAACACCCAAATGAAATGCTTGCAAAACAAACAAATGAGCAAGCAAACAAACCAAACAACAAAAAACACCCTACCAACCAAGGATCATCTGTGGAAAGGGTTCAGTGAAGAATTTTGAATCGTGAATACATCGGGGGGGGGGGAGGGAGAGAGGAATCTCTTATGAAGAGAAAGAAATCTATTCAGTCAATTATTCCCTACAGATTATTGTGCAGTTCAACCTGGCTCTGTGCTGTCATCACCACTGCCCCTAGCTATGGGAAGACTGAGTCCTGAGAGTTTCCTATTAGCAAAGTTCAGATAGTGCTGGCTCTCCCCAGTTTATTCCTTTGTTATGGGTCACCTCTCTCCCTGTATGATCAAGGTGATCCAGCAGCAGTCTGTCTTGGTTGCAAATCCACATTAATCTAGCCAGGTCTTTCCCACTCTGCCCGGGGATTACAGGTACACAGAGATCCAGAAAAACTGTTAACTACTCTCGTCACAGCCTCTATTCTTGACCTGGCTGGTTGTTGCTGGAAATTGAATGTCTTCTCACAAGAGTTGCCCTCCCTTGCTTCTGTGTTCCTCTAGAGGAATCATTTTATTGCACATATTTATTTAAAGATTCTTAAAGAGCTCATCATTTTAAGAGCTGGGTTCTATTTACCAAAGGCAAAGAGCATTCAAGATTATACAGAGAATTACCTATAAAGCTATGGCTACTGTAAGAGGCAAGAAAGCTTCATTGCTTTCCTGTTACCTGGGAAGATGACAAAGAGAGCAGGAAGTGACTTATATATACACTCTTATATTACACTTTTCATCCATCCATCTCAAACTGCTTTATAAAGGAGGGCAGTATCACTATTCCCATCTTACAAAAGGGGACACAGGG